TTGTTGGGGGCAATATGCTGACTCTGTAAACCGCTTAGAGAGGGCTGAAAGCCCTATGAAGCAGTATATAAGTCTAACTGCTATTGCTATTGCTTAACGACCAACGGCAAAAAAAGTCATGAAATCCTGGTTGAGCTAACTGAGATGTTGCAAATGACTGTAAACCGAGGCTAAATTGATGAACGCCTGAAAGGAAGTAATGTAACCAGGATAGCAGCCATAAGAACTTCAGAACTGGGTTGTAAGGGAGGTCTGTTGTAACTCTGAAAGATTGTTAAATGACTGGTCATAAATTGAGGACTGCCTGTATCTTTTTTTTTTCTTCCAAATATAGCCCAAAATGTGGCTACTGTGGGATAAATATGCAGGCATCCTTTCTTGGAATTTTCTGGGCAAAGGTTAAGTTATTTTTTTATATTTAACAATCAGACAGCAATGAATGTAATCTCACTTACAATCTTGTTAGATTAATATTGCTCCTGCTCTATCAGCAGTGAGCATTTCTCTCTAATTTGCTTCCTTGCCTTCAGTTCTGAATAGGTGTACTATAGAGGGTCTTAAGTTCAAAAGATTCCCTGATGTTTGTGATCCAGGTTTATTTATTTTTTACATTCAGCCTACCTCGCTGGGTTGTCTTGAGGGGAAAAAAGACAAACAGCATACAGGCTGGGGAACTCTGGGAGTTGAAGTCCGAGACATCTTCAAGCTACCAAGGTTGAGAAGCACCTCATAGAAGCAGCCTTGAGCATCTTAGATAGAAGGCAGGATGTTAGCATCAGAAAAGACAAAAAAAAAGAGGCTTGCACTGTCTGGATGTAGCTATTGAAATGCCAGGACTGTACAAGATCCTGTATCAGTATAGTTGCATTCCTATAAAGTACTATGTTGGTTAGGAGTTTGGGAGGGTTACTTAGCATGGTGAACGGACGAAGCCAAATCGCTAATGCAGAAAATCGGTGTAGCGTGTGGGTTGAATGCAGCTCATCTGATGCAGAAAAGGCTGCTGGGTGGGAGCAAGATGGAGGAAGAGCTTCGAACTGGACGACCATCAGTTTGCAAGGCCTATCTTGATGGATGTTGTCTCTTTGAAGTGGTCCAGACAAGAACCAGAACAATGAATCCTAGCTCCATCTCTCCTGCAAGGTTGCCTTAACAGAATCTTGCAAGACAGGAAGTATTACTCTCCTCCTTTCTTTCTAGGGAAAAGTCCTTTCTGAAACACTTCCTCCCTCTGTCGACTGACTCATCTTTTGCATGACAAGTCTGCTGTTCTTCCTCCCCTCTCCAAGGCCATTCTCGCATCCCACCACAGACGGAGCTTGACATAGGAACCGATGCTTGAGCTGGGGCAAATTAATGCATGGTCTTGGCGGGATTTAGTCTTTCCAAGTGGCTTTCATGCTCATCATGTTTGCCTTTCTCCGCAGTGGCACCATCTCTCCCCGCACGACCCCCAGCAACTCTCCGTCCTTGAGAAAACGCCTCCTGCAGCTCCCTGCCCGACCGGCTCCAGAGCCACCTTTGGAGAACATGGTGGAAAAGGGCACCGATAGCCCTGCCGAACGGGGGACTCTGACGGCCACCCCTCAAGGCAACCTCGTCAACTACCCGCTCAGTGGGCGCAGCTTTATCCGCAACAACAAGGTAAGGAAGGGAGGTGGGGTCTTAGGGGGGAGGGGGGGAGNACAACAACCTTGTGAGGTGGGCTGGTCTGAGAAGTGAGGGAGTGGCCCAAAGCCATCCAGCTTCACCCCTAAGATCGCCTGGTTTCTATATCAGCACCTCCATCGCTACATCAAGTTGGCTGTTTAATATTGTTTTTATGTCAGGGGGTTAAGAATAAAAGCTGTCAGAGGCATAAAATATTTCCTTACAAGCAGAAGGATGAGAATTCATCGCAGAGATGTATTGCTTTGCAATATCCCCAAATCCATTTGAGTTTCTAACTTAAAAGATCTTACTAAGGAGATCCTATAAATACTGTGATCGTAAATCCTTTATTATAAAGGGCAGTCCTTTATTTCAGGAAGCTGACCTTTAGATTTCTTTCATTTAATCATTTGTTTTCTGGGTTTTGCACTTGGTTATTTTTTTGGATAAAGCAAAATTATGAACCTTTTTAAAAAAAATCCTTTCAGATTAGCCTCACTTTCAGGTTTGATCTTGAGTTTTCTCCAAGAAAATATAGACGCTTTATCTGTAGAGTTCTGTAGAATTCACTTTACTTGAATCACTGAATGGAGTTAGCTCCATCTGCATGTTTACCCAGAAACTGGATTCATTGCTGCTTATCACAGTTGTCTGAAAGAAATACAACTCTGCATTTCAAGGGACATTTTCTTCCCCTTTTCAAGATAAGGCAGGGGAGGGGAAAAAAAAAGAATTTGTTTCCTTACTAGATTCCCACTAAGATTCAGTGGAAATCCTAGGTGAATTGTTTGGCAACACCGCCAATCCCCCAGCTTTCCTTTTAAGTGAACTTCAGTCACTTTTGACATTTGTTGAAACACCGAAGTGCAAAAGGAGGTTTAGAAATTCTTCTTCTGCTGGGGATGATAAAGTTACCTTTGTGTTCAGTTCAGAACTGAAACGGACCGTGGTAAATTGCATTTGGGATTGGAAGAGTAGCTTTGAAGAGCCGTTTCTCTGTGCCACTGGGTGTCCTGCCCTTGGTAGCTTGGGTTTGCTGTTTGCGAAGTCAGTACTTAGGTATTTATTTTGGAAATTTGTCCTGGCGTCTGATCAAATGATCCCCAAGGCAGCTTTCAGATTGTTTATATTAAACGACGAGAAGGTATTGCCTGATGGAGTTTTGTTTTCTTTAGAAAACGAAACAGTCAAAGAATATTTAAATAAGCCAATCTGATTGAACTGAAGGGCGGGCGGGACGGGACCAAGAGGTAGTCTTTGTCTAACAACTGTTTGTGCTTGTTGATCAGAAA